CTTCCAGAGAGACATAAGAAGATGGGTCATCAAAAAATTCCTGGTAGGCAGAGACTCAGAGAAAAGGAGTAGAGTGATTTTTGAGAGATTTTCATCATAAATATGTCAGAATAATCTAAGAGTAATCAGTATTTTTGTAGAGTATGCTTTTCTAGCAAACACCAAGAGAAATCTGCTTTTTAAAAAAAATATATTTTTATTGATTTCAGAAAGGAAGGAAGAGGGAGAGAGGGAGAGAGAAACATCAGTGATGAGAGGGAATCATTGATTGGCTGCCTCCTGCATGCCCCCTATTTGGGATCGAGCCCACAACCCTTGACCGGAATCAAACCTGGGAACCTCCAGTCTGCAGGCCGATGCTCTATCTGGTGAGCCAAACTGACTAGGGCGAGAAATCTACATTTTATGCCCTATATGAATGTGAGAATTGAGGTCATCAACTCATTCTCATGGTCAGTGGAATGACAGATGTTGAAGCTAGATCATTTACTATTCAAGAGAGTGAAGCAGCTAGGGAACACTTACCAGTGCCATGTACTCTGTGAAGTGCTCTTGCACTCTCTCTTTCTCATTTAGTCTTTACAACAACTCTATGAAATAGATGTTATATATCACTGTTGTGGTTGAATTATGTCCCCCAAAAGTTAAGTCCAAGTCCTAAACCCAGGTAATTGTGATTGTGACTTATTGAGAAACTAGAGGCCTGGTGCACAAATTCGTACATGAGTGGGGTCCAGCTTGCCTGCCCCAATCGGGGTCAATCGGGCCAGACTGGCCGGTGGGGAAAGGATGCATGAGGTTGGCTGGCTGGCCCCACCCCCTGGTTGAACTCCCAGTCGAGGGGACAATTTGCATATTAGCCTTTTATTATAGAGGATAGAATCTTGGCAGATTTAATTAATTAAGATGAGATCATACTAAACTAAGATGAGCTCTGCCCCAATGACTGGTATTCTTTTAAGAAGAGGACAAGACCCAGAGACACAAAATACATAATGGGAAGATAATGGGAAGACATAAGAAAATCATAATGTGACAGAGTCAAGAAATTAAAATGATGCATCTATAAGCCAAGGAATGACAAAGATTTCTGGTAACACCAGAAGCTAGAAGAAGCAAAAAGGGATTCCTCCCTAGAGACTTAGAAGGAAGCATGGCCTTGCTAACACTTTGATTTCAGACTTCTAGCCTCCAGAACTGGGAGAGAATAAATTTCTGTTGTTTTAAGCCACCCAATTTGTGGTACTTTGATAAGGCAGTCCTAGGAAACTAATACAATCTCCATTTTATAAATGAAGTAATGGATGCTCAAAAATTCTAATTTAGTCTAAAGTGCTTAGAGCTTCCTGACTCCAAACACTTGAGCACTTGCTTGTTGATTTGGCCCATTGGGGAGTGGTGGGTGGGCGGGCAGAGGTTTTTCTTTCTTGTCTATCAAAATTATCTTCCAGATATATTTTATAATAACATCAGCATTTCACATTTAGTTATGTGGGATAGAAGTATGTGTTAATGTGCAAAAAAAGTATTCAGAATTAAAAAAAAAGAAAAAGGAAGGCTACCCTGTATAAATCAGACATTTTCCCCCTTCAGAGCCCCACAGAGCCGTTAACATGGCTTATGGATCTGCAAGGGAAGAATTCTAGAGCATGCTATGTTTCTCAGGCTGATTTAAACACGGAGGCCACATTATAGAGCATCCCATGTAACTCATATTCTTTGGAAGATACTTTTGGAATTGCTAGTTAAAGAAAAAAATGCTGGGTTTTTTTTTTACATAATTTATATGCAGACAATGTTGTCTAAGTCACATCTTCACATAGATCTCTGAAGGGGGATTGAAAAACATCCATACTGCATCAGAAATATACTTACAAACCACCTTTTGGTATGTTAATTTAACTAATGTTTTTCCATACTTTTTTATTCTTTAGATTATTACATGGATTTTCCCAGTCAGTGTCTTCTAGTCCAAGGGCATTAGGAACATGCCTGTAGTTGAATAAAGTTGGATGTATTGTTTTAGTGTATCAAAAGAGAATGTCCATGTTGGGAAACTGGGATGTCTCAGTAAGAAGATGTGAGGAGTTATAGGATTTGTGGTTGTGTTAAGTAATTTGGGAGTAAGATTCAAGAAAGAAAGACATTGCAGACACAAAAATGGTTATTCATTCTTAAAACAGATTCTGAAAAACAGGAAGCCAGACAACGAAAATGTGTCCCCCAGAATCTACCTGTTCTTTTCTATATATTCAGGAATCTTCCCCAACACCCCACCCAAATCATGGGCTGTTCTGTAGTATTTATGCAGTTGTAATAAGAGGTGTTTACTCTTACATAAATTTCTCTTTGACTGGCTAAGAAGAAATTAAGGACTATGTCATTATCCATGACAACTCTGCCTAATAAATTTACATTTAAACCTAGGCTTTCTCACAGATAAAGATGGACACCAGATAAAGTGAGACAGATTTAATCAGTAATATACTATTGCAATAGAGAAAAGAGTCCAACAAGAACTGAACTCAGTTTTGATTTTTAGAGATAACTGAATGTTTTCAAAGGAGAATGAATAAATAGAGGCAGTGCTCAGTAGGTCAGGGAATTGAAAAATTATAAAAAGTTGGAAGGGAAGTTTGGTCCATTTCAAATGCATCTAGGTTTGCTAACTGGTGTTATGCATGTTAGGCTCCTACCTTCCCATCGATGCTGGGAGGCAGGGGCCAATCTTCAGCTGTTAGCTGGGTCACACAGTAAATTCTTTTGACAGCCTTGAATTTCTCAGGCTGTGTAAGAAGGGGAGGTTAGGGTCATCATACAGACCTGGCCTTGAGCTATGTTAATGTTTTATTGGAGTCTTTATAGGCCAAGGAATCCTAGTTGAAAAGAGAGCTCAGAGGAGCTTGGCTGGAGTTTGATTAAGGAAAGAACCTTTGTCAACTCCCAGAGACGTTATATAATTTATGGCTTTTTCCAGGGTCAGAGATGAGTTTTGGATGATCCTTTCCAGTTGCGTTGTCTCAGCTCTGGTAGTAGCTGACTGCACAGTCGGCACACCTGGGAGTCAGTTATTAGTCCTGAGAGTTCTCAGTGCTTACCTTTCCAGAGGTCTCTGTGATGATTCACTGAAGAGCTGATGGTTCAAAATTCTAAAATTCTCTAACAATGATCCCGATTTCACAGGCTACGTTAGTGTGTGACAGGTGGGTGTAAACCTGCTATCCACATGAGAAGTATCCCAGTGAGGCCAAGACTATACTGGTATTGGGAGTTTAAGAATTATTTATCACAACAGAAATGAATCTTTATTCACAGGTTCCTTTAGTAAAGTCAAACATGTCCCGCTAAGCAGTCTGGAATGCCTTTGAAGAAAATGAAGAAACTGTTTTTATCCAGGATAGGCCTAGCCTTTGTTCCCACTCCTAAAGTGTTGGGTTTTATGATAGGGTGGTAAAAACCTCAGCACAAGCATTTTGTTGAGGTGGGTTAATGCACAATTTTTAAAAGATTCAGATTGGGCCATCTAAGGGGAGGGCTCAACACAAGGAAGATGGTGCCTGCCTGTTGGATGTGTAGGAGGAAGGTTTAACGCAGGGACAATGGCAGCTGTCCTCCCTACCTTGCCCCGAGCCATACCATTTAGTCCCTCCAGTACATCTCCGGCACTCCCCACGCCACTGCCCCTCCACCAGAGCCTAGGGGCCTAGGGTAAGTGCCTGTAAGTGAGTGAGTCTGTTTGCAGGCCCTAAGCAATGCCTGGGTTTCAAACAACCTTAGGTCTCAAAGGGCCAGACAGAATCCCCACTGATTTTCACAGCCAGTTGTTGTGGGGACTCCTCTTTCTGGCCCTGGTACTCCGGGCCCTACTTCATCATGGTGTAAAAAAATTGTTTTGTATATTGCTAAAATCTATTTGCTAAGATTTTTACATCTATTTTCATAAAGATTATTGATTTGTAGTCTTGTGTATTTTTTTTCATAAAATAAATTGGGGTAGTATCCTCCTCTTCTATTTTCTGGGTGATATTGTATAGAATTGGTGTTAATTCTTATTTAAATGTTTGGTAGAATACTTCAGTGAAACCATCTAGTATTGGCAATTTATTTTGAGAATTTTTAATTAAGAATTTAATATTCTTAATAGTCAAATTACCTATTGCATATTGGGTGCATTGGGATAATTTGGATTATTTGAGTAATTAATCCATTTAACTGAAGTTGTCAAGGTTATGTTTGTGAGGTGGTCATAGTATTTCCTTATTTCCTTATTACCTTTTTGATGTCTCCAGTGCCTATAATGATGTCCCCTGTTTTATTCCTAATAACAGTAACTTGGGTTGGCTCTATTTTTCTTTTGCTCATCTTGCTATAGGTTTGTCAATTATATTGATCTTTTCCAAGAACCAGTCCTATTGCATTTACCCAGATTTTTGCTTATTGTGTTCTTTCTTCTTTTATAATATTCCATGACTCCCTTTTTTATTGATTCCTTTCTGTTTGGGGAATTCTTTTCTTCATTCTTTAAAGTAAGCCTGCTGGCAACAAATTCTCTTAGCTTTCTATCATCTGAGAATGTCTTGATTTTGCCTTCACACTTGAAAGATGTTTTTGCTGAATATAGAACTCTAGGTTGGAAGTGCCTTCCTTCCAGCACTTGAAAAATGTTGTGCCACTTCCTTATGTCTTCCATTGATGGTAATCAGAAATCTGCTGTTCAGTAGATTTAGGCCACAGTGTTGCAGGACATTCACATCAACATGGACACTAGGCCAAAAGTCTCTCAAGTTTGAGGCTTCAGCTCCAATCAAATAAATTAATGTATATTCTGTATCCTAGAATTTTATCATGAAATATAATGGAGCATATAGTAAATATTAGATAATATGTTTATGATTTATGTTTCAAAGAAAAACTACTATTTCTCCACACTTCATTAAAACCTGGAAATATGTAAGCAGTGAGCAGGAAGTAACTTTTATGTCTTTTTTTTTTTAATCCAGTGTGGAGAGAAAATTTATGTCTTTGCCTCTATCCACTTCCATATCAGAAATGGAACCCAATGACACCTTCAGCAATAACAACAGCCACAAGGACTGCCTGATTGGAAAATTCAAGAGGGATTTTTATCCTGTTGTGTACCTGATAATATTTGTCTGCGGAGCCTTGGGAAATAGCTTTTCCATATATGTTTTTCTGCAGCCTTATAAGAAGTCCACATCTGTGAATATTTTCATGCTGAACCTGGCCATTTCTGATCTCTTGTTCATAGCCACACTGCCCTTCAGGGTTGACTATTACCTCAGAGGCTCTGATTGGATATTTGGGGACCTGGCCTGCAGGATTATGTCTTACTCCCTGTATGTCAACATGTACAGCAGCATTTATTTCCTGACTGTGCTGAGTGTTATGCGCTACCTGGCAACTGTTCACCCCTTCCGGCTCCTCCATGTCACTAGCATCAGAAGTGCCTGGGTTCTATGTGGGATCATCTGGACCCTCATCATGGCTTCTTCAACAGTACTTCTGAAGAATGGCTCCGAGCAGAAGGGTAATGTCACATCATGCTTAGAGCTGAATTTCAATAAAATTGTTAAACTGCAGATCATGAACTACATCGCCTTAGTGGTGGGCTTCCTGCTGCCATTCTGCACGCTCAGCATCTGTTACCTGCTGATTATTCGAGCCCTGTTAAAGGTGGAGGTCCCAAAATCGGGGCTGCGGGTTTCTCACAGGAAGGCACTTGTCACCATCGTCATTGCCTTGATCATCTTCCTCCTGTGTTTCCTGCCTTATCATGTACTGAGAACCTTCCACTTGGTTGTGTGGAAAGTGGGTGCATGCACAGACTGGCTGCAAAAAGCTGTGATCATCACACTGGCCTTGGCAGCTGCGAATAGCTGCCTCAACCCTGTGCTTTATTATTTCGCTGGGGAGAATTTTAAGGACAGACTAAGGTTTGCATTCAGAAAAGGGCATGCACAGAGAACAAAGTGCAGCTTTCTTGTTGCCTGTGGTTGAAAAAGGAAATAAGAATGTAAGAGATTATTAAGTGAGGTTTGTTCTTATATTTCTCTATCCACTTTTATTAAAACGTAGTTTCCAAGTGACCCTGTAGTTACATCATTCCAAACAAAGGCTATTTCCCAACATTTACTTCACCATGACTTTTGCTAGTAAGACCTACTTCAAAAATTTCATTAGGTGAATTTTCAGTGGTTGAGGCACATGAGGAACAGAGTAGGGACACTCTTTACTACAGTTTTGCAATCTGAAGTGTCAGACAGAGACAAAATGCCAAGTACAGTGGGTGCTACTTTTTATCAGATTCTGTACTAGATGGCCCTTCAAGTATTCTAAATTCTTAACTTTAAGATAATCCCAACTTATCCAGCTCCTTCATTTCCTCTTCCTTAGTCAATCCCCCCTGAGATATAGCCAATTAACAAAGTTGCTGGAGGTCCAGAGCAGATTAAAAAAAAAGTATCCTAAGAATTTAGGGAAAAGACCTTGATTGTGAAGAGAAAGACTATCCTCCAACAAAGCCAGAGGCAAGATCCCAGTGAGCAGTGAGAGAAAAACGGGCAAGAAGGACAAGGGCACGAGAGAACTGGTGAGAAGGGTGGGAAGGAGGACTCTCTCTTTGCACTGGGAGAGGGACTCTAGCACACTGAAGGCAGGAAGGTTCTTTTCTCTTCTCTTTGGCCAGGAGTGATAAGAAAGAGAGAGAAAATAAGAGAAAGACAGAAGGCATTGCGCAGAATAAGGGAGAAGGGGGACCAAATTTACCTTTGAGATTTGGGCTCTGCCTGACCTCACTGAGGTTTTCAGTCTTGCATGTCAATCCGCTGGGTTGGGGGTCAAAATGGAGGAGACAGCTCTAAAGGCTTGGTTGGGCGCTCAGAGCGGGCGGCGTGGAGGACAAGCTGCAAAGGTTGTGATACCCTGAGATTTTATTGAAACTTTGGCAGAACATAAGTAGGGTGGCTTTCCTTTGGAGATTGTAGAAAAGCTAAGGCCTACAACTACTACCATCATGACCACTGTATGTCCAAAGGAGTGCCCCCTTCATGCTGGGCAGACTGTGCCAGGCACTTCACACTCATGGATCCCATTTAATGCTCACACCCAAGCCCTGTGTTTCCATTTTACAGATGAAGAAACTGAAGTTTAGAGAAATCGAGAGACTTGTTCACGTCCACACAGATCGTAAGAGTTAAAAACCTCTCTGACTGGTTGGCTGGGTGCTTGCTTCCTCCACTGTTCCTCCTGAAAACCTCTAGGAAGATTGGTTGAGAGTCAGAATAGCAGTTCTCTTCGCCAAGCAGGCATCTACCCGTCCTCACTCTCATGAGAAGACTGAAGATGGAGGTTTTCTCTTCTGATTTGCTGACTTTGGGCACAGTGGAGGGTGGGCGGGAGGTGGTGTTCTACGGCTTGGGAGGAAATGCATCAAAGCCTTCATGGTAAACAAGAGCCCCAGAACCCTTCTCTTACTCAGCAGCCGGAATAATGACAGACTTGTAGCCTGTCAAGACAGGAGCCTGGAGGATCCTCCCATGAAAAAACTGCCCATCCCAAGAAAAAAGATCAACATACACAGACTGTTGGGGATTCCCCAACACAAAAGCCAGGGCTTGCCCTATTGTCGAGTACCTATTAACATGTTAAAGTCTCACTCTTAATTATGAATAGTCAATGACCACTACACATTGGAGAAAAGGGGTCAGACTTGGAAAACACCAACAAATAAATGAGAAGATAGATAGAGACATTTTAAGTATGAGAGGTCTCAAATTTGTTATCACCTTTGCACTTTTGATCAGAAATCTACTGGAGGATGTGCTCTTCCAAAATAGCAGGTTAAACTAAGATAGAGGAAAACATAACAGTGTAGGAAACAAGAAATCCAACACAGGAGAAAGGTGAAAAGAATTCCCAGGATGTTGGTATGTAGCAAAAAAACACACACAAGAAACAAATTGATTTGTAAACATTGGAGCGATTTCTATTTTTCTTAGAGAGCCTAGGATGAACTAGTGAAGATAAATAGAAAAATGGCAAGTGAAAAGACAATGCAATTATTAAATACTAGGGAAAATCTGTTTGTTTGTTTTTTAAAGAAAGGAAATAATATACTGCATGGTTTAGCTGTGAATAATATTTATATACAGAATAATATAAATAACAAAATATTATGACATAAACTTTTTTAAGAAATGAGGGGGAGAGGATTTTGTATGTGAGAGAGGAGGAGTTAGCAAACTAAATCCCCATCTCGCATCACAGAGAATATATAACTAACGCTAGAAACTATAACTGTATAAAAATTTATTTAGCAATAGAAACTGAAGTCCAGAAGAAACAGTGAAAAGAACTGACAGGGATTACCTCTGGAGAGAAGTTGCAGGTGAGAGGATAGGGCCAAAACTTCTCTTCTCCTTTTAAGAACTATTTAACTGTGTAACTTACAAATATGTATTGCTGAAATAAAATAAAAATTAAGTTAAAATTAAATTTTCAAATTAGTTATTTGTGTTGTCTTTTTTTTAAAATGAGGAAGAAAAAAAGAAATCCCCCCCAAAATAGAAATTGAATACTGACAGGAGAAAGAAAAGCAGAAAAGGACTAGACTTGGATTTGGAACCCTGAGGGATGCCCACCCACCTCTGCCATGGGAGGGGCATAACTTCCTAGGGCCAGATGTGATTTGAAAGATCTGGATATTTTTTAGTTGCAAGTAACAGAAAACACAACTCTAAGTGGCTTAAATAATCATTATCTCACATAACTGCAACATAACAAAAAGAAGTTGGCTCTATTCAGTCAGGGTTCTGTGAGCCTCCCCCTCCAGGGGTTGGCTTGGTTCCATGGCCAAGGCCCATCAAGAAAAAGCTGATTGCAAGCAGCTTGGGGCTACATACTTCTTTACTTGTATCCAGGAGAAGAAACAGACCCTCTCCTGCCCAACTCAACTAGCAAAAGTCACAAGCTTCCTTTTGGTAAGACCTACTCAGATCACACACTCAGCTTCTAAACGAAATCAGGAAAGAAAGGATTGCTCTGAGTGAGGATGATATGAGTCTACAATTAGAGTTGAGGTTTGGGTTAAACCATTGAACACTCAGCTGGAAAAGAAGTAAGTGAGGCTTGCAGAAGCCACATATCCTGCCCTTCAATGAGTTGGAAAGAGAACAGCTGGGCATGGCCTGTACCTAAGCAGCAGGCCCTGCAGCCAAGGAAGGTGGAAAGATGCTGCACTTGAAGAAGTTATAGGGGATTTTCAAATGACAACTAGAAATCTCAACAACTCAACAACTAAGTATAAGATAGTCCATATAAAACTGGAAATAACTGAGAGCAACCAAGGCCCTTGGCATGAGCAGTAATGCAGGGGTTGTGATTTATTAGTGTCCTTAAGTCTATAGTGTGTGTGTGTGTATGTGTGTGTGTGTGTGTGTGTGTGTGTGTGTTCTTGTTTTTATCAAATAAAAGTCCCCAAACATGTGAGGGATTAGCTATAAATGCTAGTTTTTGGATGTGCTAACTTTGAACTAGTAGAAGGAGGTTTCTTATCTGTCTAAATGGTTTTTAATGTTCTTTGATTACATCTAGATTGTGTGTGTGTGTGTGTGTGTGTGTGTGTGTGTGTGTGAGAGAGAGAGAGAGAGAGCACTTAATGACTTATTATTCCTTTTTTCAAGACATTTTCTGGCCAGGGTGAAGCATCTCATTTTCTCAACAATGTTGTCCTTGAGGAAGAAAACAAAATGGGACTCTATTTACCAAAGTGAAAACCGTCCAGGGTTTCAGACACCATTTGTTTTTGTTTGAGAGGTTAGGTACCCCCAAGCACGTACATAAATTGTTCAACTGGGAGAAAGGATTTTTGTTATGTAAACTTTAGTATAACTATGATACTGGAACTGTGCTTTATATGACCAATTCTCTATTTTAAATTTAACTGAGCTGATTTTCAATTTATTCTGAAGTAGAAATAATGGCAAACTGGCCCAAAACAGGCTAGGAGGGAGAGATAGGCAAGGCGGTGGCTTTCCATAGAGAACTCATTTTTATTCTTGGGAAAGGACTTGAAAGTAGAGACTCTATCAGGGGAGAATGGGGTGAAAGGGGGGGGGTAATCCAGGGAATATGCCAATGGGAAATTCTTTCTCTGAGGACATTTCATTCCCAAGTAGATAGAGGCAGCTAGTTGAGCCTAATAAAAGTCAAAAGGAGAAATATAACAAGAAAGGGCTTGTTAAAAAGTTAACATGTATTTCAAAGCTCTAATAAATAAAAAGAGTATGGCACTGGCACACAAATCCACAGAGAAATAAAAGGAACACAGCTTGGAGTGGGCTCTCTGTGAACCACCAGGGCAGAGCAAACGGTGTGAGCCAGGCTAATGAAGACTCAGATATGGCTGCCAGTCAGCCCTGGGACAGGGAGAAGGTACCAGCACAGGAACCCCTGTGAGAACCCCTGTCTGGGAGGAAACCACCCCTGAGTTCCTCCTCTGATGCCAGACAATCCAGTTCCTCTCCGTATGTATCTGGGACTCCCAAAACTGCCTGGCGCTGGAGCTTAGAGGGATCAAGTCCAAGTAAGTTTGTGGATCAACCCTTTAAGAGGAACACCTGGGTCTCCAGCAGCCTCTGTGTCCCTCAGCCACAATCTCCACTGGTTTTTACAGCCTGAAGTTGAAGTTATGGGGACTTCTCTTCCCTGTTCTGGAACCCTGGGTGGGGGTCTGATGTGGGGCTGGGACTCCTTGCTCTTCACGGGTGTCCTACACAGGGACAATCTCCCTCTTGATTTAAAAAAACACCACACATGGTTGTCGGACCAACCTGTTTCCCACCTCCGCCCCTCCTACCAGTCTCAATGTGCTTTCTTATTTACTTCTTTAGTTTAGGAATTCTATTCAGCCATATTTCAGGTGGTTCTGAGTGATGGTGGGTCTGTATTTCAGTTGTAATTTTGATGTGGCTGTGGGAAGCAGCAAGTACGGGCGTTTACCTATGCAACCATCTTGGTTCCTATCACCTGTATTTTTTTTAAAGCTTCACTGGTGATCCTGATGGAATATATTGTTATATTCTCTTTTCAGAACCTGGCAGATCTCCTGGCAGATCTCCAGCTATCCTCTTTGGAAGAAGTCAAATCATTTTTTATAAATAGTTCTCCATTTCAAATTTAAATGTACCCTAAAATAGCCCCTAACTATCTAAGTTCTGTTTCAAGGGAAAATATAAATCAGAAAAAGAAATATTCTTATAGGGGAAGAATATTTAAATAAAGAGTTTAAAGAGTGTCAGGTCTTATTCAGCTATGTGACCTTAGGCAAAGGATTTAGCTCTTTTTGCCTTAGTTTTCTTATTTGTAACATGGGAATGACAATATAAGCCTAATCTTGCAAGATTAAGACAATATAAAATATGAAAACACATGTCAAATCCTTTTGAAATCCATAAACCCTACAGAAATGCAAGCTATTATATACTACTAGATATTTCATATAAATAGAGTCTTATTACTCAAATTATATTTTAAATGCCTTTATGGAGTCTGCCATGCAAGTAAAATAATCAATAAATTTAATTAAAGCAAATAATTATTTTGTGATGAGTCAGTCCCTAATTTGTTTTTGTGTGTGTGTGTTTTGCATGTGAATTTGGTTATTTTGAATGTTCTGAAAATAGATCACAGTCATGCTTCAACTGAAAAGGTTGCAATGATTGTAGCATAAGGCAGCACTGGGCAGAAGGGAGCCTGCCCCTCAAGGGAAAAGACAACATCCTAGAGCTCTTCCAAGTGCACACAGGGGTCCCTGGGACCAAATGACTTTAATCCTCTTTGTTTAAGAAGTGGCATCATGAAAGCCAAATTCTTTATGATTCAAAGTAACTGTGGATCTCCTTAACCTCCTCTCAAATGCAGACATCTATAAACAGCTTCTTACATAATGTATTTAGTATCTATGAAAATATATGAAAAAAGCCATAATCACAAAATAGCTAAAGGAGCTCATCACCATCAAACCAATATTACAAGAAATCCTAAAGGGACTTCTTTGAGGAAAAGGGGGGGGGGGGAGAACATAAATACAACTAATAAAATGGCATTAACTATGCACCTGTTAATAATCACTTTAAATGTAAATGTATTAAATGTTCCAATCAAAAGACATAAGGTAGCTAAATGGATAAGAAAACAAGACCCATATATATGCTTCTACAAGCGATCCACTTTAGATCGAAAGACACTCAGAGATTGAAAGTAAAGGGATGGAAAAAGATATTTTTTTATAAGTAGAAACAAAAGAAGCTTGGGTAGTAATACATATATCAGAAAAGACAGACTTTAAGACAAAGGCTATACTAAGACAAAGAAGAACATTTCATAATGATAAAGGGATAAAATCGAACAAGAGGATATAATCCTTATAAACATTTATGTACCCAACGTAGGAACACCTAAATCTATAAAGCAAATATTTATGGACATAAAAAGAGAAATCAACAGTAAAGCAGTCATAGTAGGGAACTTTAACACCCCATTGTTATCCACGGATATATCTTCCAGACAGAAAATCAGTACAGAAATAGTAGCCTTAAATGACACAATTAGACCAGATGGATTTATATTTTTAGAGCATTTCACTCCAAAACAGCAGAATATATATTCTTTTCAAGTACACATGGAACCAGCATTATTTATAACTAGAGGCCCAGTGCACAAATTCATGCGCGGGTGGGGTCCGGCCAGCCCAGCCCCATTTGGTGGTTTGGGACTGGGCCTGCCAGGAGGAGGAGATGGTGGGAGGTTGGCCTGCCAGCCTGCCCCAATCAGGGGCCAATCAGGGCCAGGCTGGCTGGGGTAAGGGGCCGAGGGTGGTTGACTGGTGGGCCCTGCCCCTGATTGGGGTGGGGGTGGGGGTGATTGGGGGTGGTGCCAGCCATGAGGAGGGGCTGTGGGCAGTGGGCTAGCCAGCCCCACCTCCAAATAGAGCCAGGAGAGAGGCCGTGGGAGGTTGGTCGGCCAGCCCCACCCCTGATTGGTGTGTGCAGGTCCAATAGGGGATATAGCTGGTTGGGGGGAGGGGCTCTGGGCCAATTGGAGTGGTGGGGGCTGATTGGAAGTGGGGCCAGCAGTGGGGAGGGGCTGTAGGAAGTGGGCCAGCCAGCCCCGCAGCCCCGCCCCTGAATTGGATAGGGAGGCCAATCAGGGGCCAGTGACCTGGGGGAGAGGCCATGGTGGTTGGCTGTAAGCCCTGCCCCTGATCAGATTGGGGGGGCCAATTGGGTCAGAGCTGGCTTGGGGGAGGGGCTGCAGGCCAATCGGGGTGGTGGGGGCTGATCGGAGGTGGGGCTGTCTGTGGGGAAAGGCTTTGGGCAGTGGGCCAGCCAGCCCCACCCTCCAATGCAGTAGGGGGGCCCAATCAGGGGCCAACAGCCAGGGGAGAGGCCATGGGTGGTTGCCCAGTGGCCCTGCCTCTTATCAAATT